AACAGTGAATGAATGGAATTCCAAAATCTCTGGAGATGTTCATTGAAATGAAAAATAAATAAATAAATAATTTAAAAAAATATCTAGCATGGATGACAGGCAGGTGGTGAGGCAGTCTGGGGGGTTTTGCTTTGGGATAAAGATCATTAGTCAATAAATAGGCTTAGGACATGTTAAGGTTGGAATGCCTACGAGAGGATTCCAATCTTAAGGAGAGGCCAAGTAGGTAGGTTAGAAATATGGATCTGGAACGCAGAAGACACAGAAGGCCTGTACATAAAAACTTAAAGTCCCTCAGCTTATCATTTAAGATAGGAGACAAAGTCCTTCACTGAGCCCTAAGGAAAAATGTCAAAGGTGGACAAAGGAGGAAGGTATCCAGAGAGGTTAAGGAGAAGAGAACAATAACAACAACAAAAATAAGATGAGAATAACTGTTCCTATTCCTTGTCACTGTGAGTTGTGGTAAAATAAAGGTATAACATGATTGGACAACATGAAAATTGTTGGCGCCCTTTGAAGACAACCAGCTTTTAATAGAGAAGCTGAGGCAGAGGAAAACATTTTTAAAGAAATGAAAGTCATTAATAAGATCAGATATTTACTTACTATTGTTTCTACTATTAGAGACTAGTGCCAATTTTTAAAGTTTCTTCCCACATGACTTCACGGAAATCCCAAAAAAACCTACCAGTCCCATGGAATGTTGTGCCCACAACACGAACACAGCTTGGTACTCGAAGGTCCCAGAATCGAACAGTCTTATCTTGAGAACCAGATGCAATCATCCAGCCACTCCAGGTATAAAGTGCTAAAATATGCCCTAGAAAAAGAATGCACTCACTCAGTTATTAAATACCAAGGAATGATACTTTTCTCCAACCCATTCAAAGCAAAGTACTCTGTGTTATTGAGCATATATAATGATCTGTCTAATCAAATATATTATGTTATAGAGATTTTCTACATATATCAGATTTGCCATTTGAAAATAATTAAAATTCAGAGAGATGCATATAAAAAACCTATACCAAATTAATTTAATCTTATCTGATGATTAGTATAGCAGGCTCTTTCTATATTTTAGGACATCATAATTATACCTGGGGAAAAAACTGACATTTGAAATTATGACAATTTGTTTATGGGGCAGAGGTGGGGGTAGGGGTGAGGAATATAGGATTATGGGTAAAGATCATTGGCTTTAAAAATAAAGAAACCTGGGCCAAATCTCAGTTTTACCACTTAATAAACTTACAATATTGGAGAAGTCATTTTTACCTTTCAGTCTCACTTTATTCTCATATAAAATGGTTGATAAGCCCACCTATCTCATAAACTGTTACGAAGATTAAATTATAAATTTATGTAAATACACAAGTGAAGAACTTAGCATTCAGAGAAATAGGAAAGCTGACTGTCACAGTTGCTGTGTGCCACAGAGTCAGAACAAACCCATAAGTGACCCTCCAGCGGGTTTTCAGACACAATAAATGACACAGGTGGAGGAGACTGCCCATGGAGCAGCTAATTGATTTGAACCGTGGGCCTTTTGGATTGTAGCGCAGCTTCTTACCGCTAGGCCACCAGAGGACTCTTAACTGTCACTTGTGTTATCCAAAGCTTATAATTTTTGAGATTAAAATATTCTATCTTAAGAAATTTATTTTGATTCATATACCCTAGGAATGAAAAAGCATGGGCTGAAGGAAAAGCAGCAGGTGGGAATGATAGAGCGTACCAGTGTGTCCACTCAGTGCGTGCAGACCCTGTCCACGCTGACAGTCTGTGGTGTAAATGTTACAGTCTCCTGCTCCAGCACTTATCAAAATAGCTCCACCACTTTCTGGGCCTTCCATAAATGCCAAGTCTCTAATTGTCCCATCATGCATACTAAATTCCAGATCCGGTCCTGAAACAGCAATCAGAATTTTAAAAAAAAAAGATGCTGCTCAATTTACTATGATAATTTGAGATTGCTACATTGCCTCATTAATGATCAAGAGTGAAGTGAAAATAATATTAATAATAAGAGAGTGAGCGGTATGGTTTACGTTTGCATTCATGTGTTGCCACTATACACCAATCCAACTTTACAGAACAAAGAACTTCAAGAAATCAAAATGCTGATTTTGTTATTATCACCCATAAAACAGAGTTATATACAGAGTTACGTTCTAATGTTTTTATTTAAGAAAAAAGAAGAAAGGTTTGTTGCTATTGACACAATTCTGATCATTATGTTAGTTATTTTTCTGAAAGCAATTTTTCTAGTCAGGACATCACTGACTACCTGTAAAAATCAGACTGAAAAAGAATAAAGTTTCTTAAGTGTAACGAAGCAATTAGAATTTTTTTAAAAAACTTAAGGCTATATTCTTAAAATTCATTAAAAAAAGAGAGAGAGACATATATTGCAGAGTTGTAACACGGGGAAAATATATAATCTATACTGGTAAAAAGTTACTGCTTTCATACTTGGACCCTACCTGTTGCATTGCAAGTTTCTGCATTAAAGGGCAGAACTTTGACATATTTGTCATTGGATCCTGTTGCTAGTAACTGTCCACAAGGACTCCAGGCCACACAGTAAATGGATCCTTTGTGATGTTTGTTCCTTTTAAAACGTACCACTGGCTGCTTAGGAGTGTCATGTGCACTAAAAAGAAAAATCATAGAAAGATATTTCAATTTTTTATTTGCTAAAATTAACTAATACATAGTTCTACATTATAGCTGTTTCTGAGAGAAAAAGTATATCTCAGATAAGAGGTTAATAACAGCTTTCAAAAATCTTGGAAAATGTTTGAAATTAAAAACAATCTTGTTAACTTATAT